CATATAATATAATATAATATAATATAATATAATATAATATAATATAATATAATATAATATAATATAATATAATATAATATAATATAATATAAAATTTATATTACATTATATTAAATGTTATATATAAATCATAATATATTTTTATATATTATATTAAATTATAGATATATTAAAACTATACTAAAAGAATAAAAGCAAGGATTTCATCAGAAGGCTAGCTAAGAATAGAAAAGGAATGAATAACAAAGGCTTGTGACTGACCAAGACAGTCCAAGCCAGCTGGGCTGTGATTGGCCATTCATTAGAAACAACCAACATGGGCCAATCACAGATGCACCTGTTGCATTCTACATCAGCAGATAATCAGTGTTTACATTTTGTTCCTGAGGCCTCTCAGCTTCTCAGGAGAAAAAACCCTATGGAAAGGATTTTTCATGAAACATGTCTGTGACACCTGGCTACCTAAGACCACCACCCTTCCTCCAAAGGCTGTAGGGAGGTCGCAGCCTGTGGCTGCATCCCAGGGTTTGGAGCCACTTTTCTGTGACTCCTGAAAGGACAAAAATGTCCCCTGCCCCTGCAGTCCCTGCCCAGCTCCCTTTTCTGCAGAAGGGAGAAGTTTAGCTGGATGTCTGTCTGTCTGTCTGTCCATCCAGCCAAGGTGGGAACAGCAGGGTTGTCCTTCAGGCTCTTCCTTCCCCAGTTCTGGATGGCTCTTGCAGAGCAGGGCCCATCACACCCACCAGGGTTCCCAGGGCTCCCAGGTTCCCAAGGCCTGCCTGGACAGGCCAAGCGAGTTGAAGGCGCCCTTGTCCCAGATCAGCTTGGGGCAATTTCCGCTGCATTGAGAATAGCAAGAAAAACATCCCCTCTGCCAGAGGAGGAGGCCAGGGCAGGGAGAGGATTCGCTGTGGCTCTGGGAGGGCTGGCCAGCACCGACCAGCACTCCCAGCCCCAGCGTGGGAGCCAAGTCCCACAGCCCTTGGCCAGCATGATGGCAGAGTCACATGCTGGTGTCCCAGTGCTGGGGCCATTCCTGGCCTCACGAAGCCATCAAACATCAAACCCGTGCTGAAAGACCTTCCCAGCACTCAGGAAACCTCCCAGGGCTCCACGTGGTGCCCTGGGAACAGCCTGGAACAGCCTGGAACACTGATCCCCCTGACCCCCCAGCCTTTTCCTTGGCCCTGGGCTGGGCACTGCAGCAGCTGATGGCCAGAGTGATGCCAGCACTCAGCAGCACATTCAGTTATGCACAGCAGCATCTCCCCAGACACAGAATCAGGACACCAGCCCCATCCTGCACCCAGCAGCACCTCCCAGCATTCCTCCCAGCTCCTCTGTCCAAAGCCCAGAGCCAGCACCCAGCACACTGCACTTGCTCCATGGCTGGCTCCTGCAGCCCCTGGTGCTGCTGTGCTGCTGCCTCCTCCCCTTACACCCTTCCAGGGCTCTTCCATCTCTCCTGGAGCCCTTGGTGCTATGGAGCACCCATCTCCAGTGCCCTGGCAGGGATGGCACTGATGGTGGCATCAGCCAGTGCAGCACATCCCTGCACACAGCCTGTCCCCAGGAGCCCCTGTGACCAGCTTTGCTCCCAAAGCCTGGCCCTGTGCCAGAGCACTGAGGGTGCATCTGCTTCCCACAGCATCCCTGCAGTGCCTGAGCCACAGCCCCAGCACACAGACAGACAGGAGCCCTGGCCTCCAGAGAGGTTCCCTCTCCCAGCTGACTCTGCTGGGATTTGGCTCTGGCCTGGCTGTGGCTCCTGCAGCTCCACCAGCTGAATCCCTGGAGCTCTTTCTGCCCATGCAATGGGGGGCAGGAGGGCAGAGCAGGACCCCCCAGCAGGACCTGTGACACCCTCATCCTTCTGCAGCACCAACATCCCACCAGCATTCCTATCCCTGACTCCTGTGGGACCAAGCTGTCCCAGGGCACTCTGAATCCCCGAACCTGCTGGTGCCACCCCCAGGGTTCTCTCAGGGGCACAGGGAGCCCATGAGCAGCAGATCTTCCTCAGATCCTCCTCAAAACAGGGTCTGTTTTGGGGACATCAGCCCTCCCTTGGGCAAATTCCTGCCCCTCTCAGTGCACCCAGATGCAGCTGGAAGCCTGAGGTGGAGGACAGGGCTGGGGCAAACACTGGAGTTAGTGAGAGGATGGGGTGGGACACCTCAGAAAGGAGAAATGCCAGCTGGGCAGGGGCACAGGGGGGCTGCAGGGCTCCCCCAGCAAACACCCCATGCTGGGGTGGGCTGTGCAGGTTTGGGGCTGTGCAGGTTTGGGGCTGAGCAGCTTTGGGGCTGTGCTCAGAGGGACACCTGGGCCATCCCCCTGCACCCAGAGGAGCCAGGGGCACTCCTGGAGCTTTAGGGCTGTGCCCAGGGAGCCCTGCACAGTGCAGACCCTGGGCATGGACAGGGCACTGTCACAGGGAACTCACAGGTGACTGTCACAGGGGATTGGCACAGGTGACTGTCACAGGGGATTGGCACAGGTGACTGTCACAGGGGACTGTTCTGGGGCAGGGCATGGAGCAGACAGGAACCCAGAGCACTGGGGTGGATGCCCAGGGGAGGGGAAGTTCTGAACCCTGGTCTGACCAAACCTGAGGGGTTCTTCAGTGACCTGACCCTGTCCCTGAGCTCTTCCAGCTGTTTGCACCCTTTGATAAATGGGGCATTGATCACAGAGAACAGGCAGGTCTGTCTGTCCCACCAGGGCACAGCTGGACCCCAAGGTTCCCTCGAAGATGGGAGATGAGCACACTGAGGGTGGGTTCCTGCATCAGCCCAAATCCTGCCCTCTGGGGCAGTTTTGCTCATTCTGCCATCCCTTGTCCCCACAGCCCCTCTGTCCATCCCCTGTCCCCACAGCCCCTCTGCCCTCCTCAGTGGTGCCTGGCTCTCCCTGAGGTGTGAGGACAAACACAGATCTCAGGCTTCCAGACCTCATTCCTGGGCTGTCCCATTCCACCTGCAGCCCCCTGCCCTGGACCATCCTCAGCATCCCACAGTGGCCAGCACACTGCAGGGCTGAGCCCCCAGCTTTGGGGTGGGACAGGAACAGACAGATGGGGGTACCCTGCTGACAGAAATCCCTGTGCTGGCTGGATGAGGTCTGATGGGCTTTTCCCAGCCCTGGCAGCATCAGTGCTGCCTGCAGAGCCAGAGGGAAGGGCACTGGGGACTGTCCCTCAGCTCCCTGTGCCCCATGAGGGATCTCTGGCTGTCCTTGTGCCAGGCCAGCAGCCCCACAGCCTGCCCCAGAGCAAGGGGGCAGAGAGAAGCTGAGTCCTGCATCCCTGGGGCCCCGTGCAGCCCTTACCTCCATGAAGGGCACGATGCGACAGGACACGTCCCCCAGCAGCCTCTTCTTGGTGATCTCGTTGAAGATGACCACGGGCAGGCAGAAGAAGAGGATGAGGAAGTCCCAGAAAGCCAGGCTGGCCAGGATGGAGTTCCAGGCACTCTTCATGTAGTAGTTGTGCCACACGATGCACATCACGGCCAGGTTGGCCACGATGCCCACGGTGAACACGACGAGGGACAGGAACACGACGGCGTAGGCGCTGTAGGAGCCTTCGGTGACCGGGTACAGCGGGTTGTGCATCTGCAGCCGCCGGTCGGACACGGTGCTCAGGTTGGCTCGGGGC